AAAACGACACAGTCTCAGGCTGCATAAACAATCATATTTGCTATACATATTTTTATTATTAGATATTTGCCTAACACATCCATAATAAAGTGATTATTATTATTATTATTATCAAGACATCTTTTACTAGAATGTATCCCATCAATCTTAGAATGCAAAATAGGTTAATGGTGTCAGTGAAATTAGCTAAATGAGTTGAATAAAGCTTTGTAATTAATGAACATATGAGTATGTATATATTTACTTATGTACCTGAAGGGGACATTTAACGAGGTGTTCACATCATTCTTATACATAAAAGAAAAACAATATACACACCTTGGACATTGGGGAATATGGAGTTTTTGTCATCAGTCCGATTGTCATCTGATCTGAGTGAGTGGTGAAGAGTTGACCAGTGTGTGTGTGTGTTCGGGGTTGTGTGGTGTGTTCAACAAAACAGTGTGTTATCAATCAGTAAACGAACCACTTAACTATATCTAATCAATCAAAGTTCACCTGTCACTCTCGCATAACAGACACAATAAGGAAAGTAAATGCCTAGTTTTTATTTGGGCGTATAAGGTAAGAGAGAGAGAGAGCGAGAGAGCGAACGGGAATAAAGCTGAATAGGTAGGTGTGTATGCCAGTGAAGGACAGAAAAAAAGTGGGAAGCGTTAAGTGCTTCACGTTTAAACAAGCGGAGACGTTGGGGGGACAGGGGGCGGTAGAAACACGTATACGCACACACACACACAGAGGATAAATAAACAAACAAAAATAACTCATCATCCTTCAATTTCGAGCATTTTGTTTTCTTTTTAATTCCATTTCATTTACTTGACTGACTAATTGACTGTATTGTGTTAAAAGAATTAGAGGTTGCTTTCAAGAGTATGATGTCATAAATAGTTCAGTTAACTTTCCTACTGAATAATGCCAAAGATGAGGTGGATAAGATTGTTTGCAAAAGTTAGGTAAAAATAATTAATTCATTAAAGTAGTGAGAATTTATTCCAACTTTCTAGGCGATGTTATTTATTACCCACCATCCAAGTAGAAACCCACTTTATTCTGGAAGCAAAAACGTTCCAGCTGTGACTGCAGACTACAGGACTTGCAGTTAGAAGTCAGGTCAGTTACAGATTTGTCATGCATTGTATGAGGTTGAAAATGGACCAGTTGCTCAAACTGAAGTAGTTGGAGAGGGATTCAAAACTGGGACTTATAAGGTGATTTTACTTTACTAGAAGGACAAGTTCGTAACACTTTACATTCGATGCCAAGATGAAAGGTGTCGTTTCTCTTCTCTTCTCTCATCACTACCATTTGCTAATGAGAATGAGACAGGGTAATCTGAAGTTTCACACATAAGATTTTATACGCTTGAAAAGCTCTTCAGTGACTAGACAGGATATTCAGTAGTCAAGGCATTTGAATTGATGATGCAACCAGGGTAAAACTCTGTCTGTTTGAAAAGAATTGCAATCATGAAGAAAGTAGTGTTGACCATTGAATTACATATATATATATATAAATATATATCTTGGGCTAGACAAGTAATTATGCTTGATAAAATAACGATTAAGCCAGTT